CACTACTTCTGGACTGGTATGAAAAAGAATATTTCAGATTTTATGGCGAGGTGTTTGACTTGTCAGCAGGTTAAGGCAGAACACCAACATCCATCTGGATTGTTGCAGTCAATTAAGATTCCTGAGTGCAAATGGGAGCGCATTATAATGGACTTCGTTACTGGTCTTCCTCTGACTCCTTCCAAAAAGGATTCTATCTTGGTGATTGTTGATCGACTCACCAAGTCAGCGCACTTTATCTCTATTCGGGTTAATTATTCTCTGGACAAACTGGCTAAGTTGTACATTTCTGAGATCGTTAGACTTCATGGTGTTCCGTTGTCTATCATATCTGATCGAGATCCGAGGTTCACTTCTAGGTTCTGGAAAGCTTTGCACGAGGCTCTGGGTACTCGTTTGAATTTCAGTACAGCTTTTCATCCTCAGACTGATGAACAGTCTGAACGAGTTATTCAGGTGTTAGAGGATATGTTACGGGGTTGTGTGATTGATTTTTGTGGTAGTTGGGAAGATTTCTTGCCATTAGCTGAGTTTGCTTACAATAATAGTTACCAGGCAAGTATTCGCATGGCACCGTACGAGGCTCTGTATGGACGTAGATGTCGTACTCCTATATGTTGGACAGAGTTGCATGATAGAAAAACTTTGGGTCCAGACTTGGTTCGAGAGACTGAAGATACTGTCAGATTGATCCGTGATCGCTTAAAAGAGGCATTCGATTGGCAGAAGTCATACGCAGATAAGCGACGTAAGGATATCGAGTTTGAGGTTGGAGATCAGGTTTTTCTCAAGGTATCTCCATGGAAGAAGGTATTGAGATTTGGACGTAAGGGTAAACTGAGTCCGTGATTTATTGGGCCGTATCGTATTTTGAAGAAAGTTGGACCTGTTGCTTATCAGCTCGAGTTGCCTCCCCAGCTCAGTCGTATTCATGATGTTTTTCATGTGTCTATGTTGAGGCGATATCGTCCAGATCCAGATCACATCATTCAAGTTGATGAGGTAGAGCTGAGACCTGATATGACATATGAGGAGGAGCATGTTCAGGTTTTAGAGAGGGATGAGCGAGTTCTTCGGAATAGGCGTATTCCAATGGTCAAAGTTCAGTGGAGTAATCGTAGCCCCTCAAAAGCTACTTGGGAAACATTGGAGTCAATGGAGGTTCAATTTCCGCATCTATTTTCATAAGGTAAATTTCGAGGACGAAATTTCTTGTATAGGGGGAGAATTGTAACAACCCGGAAATTTGAAAATAATATTTAATTGAAATTTGAGTTTTTAATTGTGAAAATTGATAAATTTTGGGGACTAAATTAAAAGATTTTAAAACTTGTAGCTTATTTTAGAGTTAAATAAAATTTAGGGACCAAACCTCGAATTTACCCAGGAAGTGTCTGAAAACCATGTTATATACGTGGTTTTCTGTTTCAAAAACAGAAAACCATTCCCAAAATTCTCTTCCCAACGCCCATCTTCCAACCACGATCCCGACGCCGTCCGACCTCTGATCGTTGATTTGAAAACACCACTGTGTTCATCATCGAGCGAGGAACAAATCCCTTAAATTAATTGAAGTGAAACGCTGCCAAACGTCGTGAAATTCAAGTCAAAGTCTCGACGTTTTTTTAGTTCCATCGCCGAGGAAATCTTAAATTCATCGCCGATCGTTGCTTCGTTTACGACACCTCCTACACCATCGTGTTCCTTGTGTCGTTCCGAGTCCACCGGTATCCTCCTTTTCTCCGGCGGCAGCGGCGCATGTGGTGGTGTAGCGGTCAAAGTTTCTGATTTGATGAAATCGAGCTCTCCGCCGTTCAAAAATTTGAACCGAGCTTTATAAGTATCTCGAAATCGCTCAAAATAATTTTTAAAAATTTTTCCGTGAATTTTACGCTGCCGTAAGACGTCCCACGTGCCCCCACACGCCGCCACAGCTCTTGAGAAATGTCAAAATGATCGGTTTGACCAATTTTTAACCGGTTTGACCGGTTACAACCCGACTCGACCCGTTGATCCGACTCGACCCGTTAATCGGGTGACATTTTAGTAATTATTTTGAAACTGGTGACATATTGGGAATTAATTCGAAAAAGGGTGCTATTTTTGTAAATTGTTTTTAAAAAAAATGCTATTTTCGTAATTTTTGAAAAATGACATTTTAATAAATATTTTGAAAATGGTGTTGTATTAGTAATTAATTTTAAAATGGTGCTATTTTCATAATTTTGTAAATAAATAAATAAATAATAATTTCGTAAAATGGTTGACCACTTTTGACTATAACTTTGACCGGCTTTGACCAGATATTAAACAGCCGTTAATCTTTTCTGAGAATACATATCCTGACATTTTTCGACGTCTTGAATCTGTTTTTGGGGGTCCGTTTCACAAAATTCAAACCCGAAAGTCTCCAAATCGTCAGTCAAACCCGTTGACTTTGATTTTGACCAATAATTCAGAATTTCGGGAGGTCAGACTTTATGTTTTTCGACGTCCTGAATCTGATTCCAAAATCCGTTTTGTCAAATTCTGACCCGAAATTCCCAAATCGAGCTTGTAAACCCAAAAGGCTTAATATTTTAATATTTTGATTATTTATTTGAGTTTTGGTTAAGGAATTGATTCAATAAAATATTTTATGAAGGTACTCGTGTTTCATCTAAGCAAGGATCAATTAGGTTCGGTGTTGTCCGTTCGTTAGATCAGCCTGAACTGCGTACTACGAGAATTACTCGTAGGTTTCCGTATATTATTTAAATAATATTTAGATTATTTATATTATGATTCCAATATGGATTTTTCCAATTCGTAGAATCTAGCGTTGCAGCAGAGCCTGATCGACAAACCCAACAATAAACTTCCCTATTTGATTTCTCAGACTGTTACAGGTGTGTTTCCCAACAGTGTTAATTATTTTTGTTTTAAAATATATATCTGAATATTATGTATCTAATATTTGATTTACCGCGTATTTCTGATATGATTTCTGGTTACGGTATTTTATACCGACGTTTTGAATATTGATTGTTTGATGTCTGAAATTCTGTATACTACTGATTTGTCTTCTAATTTCCGTATTTCTGTATATGATTTTTAAGCATGAACATTTTTATGTTTTAAAGAATTAATCATTGTTTTCATTCAAATACATTCATGAACAATCATTGGGGGTATTGTTGAAGGAAGTATATCCGCAGGTTCCTCGGCTTTGTGCTCAGGGCCTTATTTGATGTGTGGGCTGGATGTATGGTTCTGGGGAACCTACACATTCTGATGTGATGGGCTGGGGGTAGTGTTCATATTTTTTTAACGACATGATTGCATAAACCGACTTTACTGAAATATTTTTATCTGTATGTTTTTATATACACTGTATGGAACACACTGAGCTTTTTAGCTCATTCTGTAGTTTTCCCCTCTTTTAGATAACAATATACCGTAAGCTAGCAGATTTGGCATCAGGAGAGATCTACTACTTATTTTGTACGAACGAATATCTCTATATGTTTTTCGGTTATGTTTGATGACATGTATTTGTTATCGTTTTGGATATATATGTATTATCAATATTTTGTTCCATATTATATCTAATGTATTATAAGATGTTTTAAGAGAAAAAAAACTCTGAATGAAATATTTGATCATTTAAGCTTGGGTCTAACTTACAGACCGGGTCTGGAGGGTTACATTTGGGTTAGCCAGTTTGAGCTGAAAATTGAGTTATAATTCATGGGCTTGACAGAGTAGAGCATTCCCTTACAAAAATTCGAAGTCTTCAACGAGGAAAGAGACTAGGGAATTTCTTACCTTTGAGAAAAATAAATTACTCACCAATCTATACGCACATTCAATGAATTCCTTAGAGACGAGGGCTGCTCATTTTAGTCACAACCCATATGGAATTTTAGATTCAAAACGCTTGGCTGGTTTATAATTGTCAAGTATAAAGAAATAGGCTAATTGAATCAAGTGTACACAAATTATAATCATGATTCTAAATTAATTCCTAAACTTCAAAACATTATAATTAAATCCTCAATCTTTTGAAACATGTTCTTTTGCTAGTCTAGTCATCAACTTGGATGGTAAATGTCAATTCAGATTTGAAGTGGAGCATGTTTAAAATACGTAGGTTAAATTATAAACACATGTACATATATTGCATATGTAATTTTGAATTTAACGTTTTCAAAATAAAAATCTTACATTTTAATGATATTTTCTATTTTTTAACGTGTTAAATTAATCTTTCATGCAGTAAATACACACGAACTTAAAATTTAATACATTTAATATAAATACATTATGCATCAAATTGAAATTAGTTTTTAGGGTAAAATACAGTAGATAGTCAAGGCCGAAGCCAGAATTTTTATTCAAGGGAACAAGGTATAACTAACAATAGAAAATGAAAGAGACAAAATCAAAATAATTTAAAGGTCTAAATAGGTATTTATCCTTATATATATTTTAATAATAAAAGGTTAGGGACAGTAGCCCCAACACTATACATAGCTTCATCCCTGTAGATAGTAATAAATTTTGATAAATTTAATAATCATTTTATAATATTTCAAAAAATCTAATGACTGTTTTATAATAATTTAATAAATTTAATGATAATTTTATAATTATTTAAAAATTCTCATAATATTTTATAATAATTAAAATTTTAATGATTAAAAAATCATTTTAACATAATGTATGATATATTAGTTTTTAATGTTATTACTAAGTTGACCCTGACCTTAACCAAACTTTAGCTCATAATTGTGGCATATGTTAAAAAACCGTTTTTCTTCTTCGTTCATCAACTCCCCCTTAAACTGGCGGAATCCCATGCATCTCTCGCTCTCCATCTAATCTCTAATTTTCAATTTTTTTGTGTGTTTTAGTTTCAAATCTCGATGTATCTATAAACAAAATCAGAAACCTTCAGCATTTCAAACAAGCTTTGAGAGTATCGATCGCAGGTAAAAAAAAAGAACCGTAATTGTTTACTCATTGATGGTCGTAGTCGTTGGGAAGAGCGGGAGACGGACGTGGCGTTTTCGTGTGATTAAAATGGTGAAAGTAATGGCGGAGACGGTTTCGTTGAGTCCGTGATGGGCGTATCTAAGGCGTGGTACGGCTAAGATGGCGCTGTTTCACCATCAAAACGGCAGCGTCGTAAGCAACAAGAATGTGTTTAACAGGCCGCGATCGCAGAGGAAGCCGATTTCAACGTCGGTCATCTGTGGCTTGATGCTCTTTTGCTTGGGCATGATTTCGCTCCTCACTGGCCATATGGCGTCTGAGCTCGAGCGGTACTCCCAGCGACTTGTGAGACAAAGTCTCTTCCATTTGGTAAAATGAAAGAAAAAGTTCATTTTGTGTGTTTAATGTTCTTAAATTTGCTTGTGTTTTAACAATTTTTCTTTAAAATTTTGATGCAAATGCTGTAGGATGAAAGCAATAAAGGACCGATTTATATATGGAAATCTGAATATGCAAAATACTTCTATGGATGTAGCGAAAGTAGCGCTAAATTTCCTGGTACGTTGTATTTATTCATGTTAAATGCATTTGGTTCATTTGTGGAGTATTTGATATTCTTTACTTGATTGGATTCAATTCCAACAGGATTTGTAGTATTTTTCTGTAATTCACCGCTTGTTTCTCAGTATTAATTCATAACAGAGCGTTTACAGGTACAAAATGAAAATTGTTGCTTTTGTGTTCATGTTAGTTTCAAATTCTCTGCATCTCTTTTAAGTTAATGATTTTAGATGATAGCAGCCACTTTAGGTTCTTTTGATGACAATCAGTAAACTGTTTGTTTCTGATTTCTGAGCAGTGGGGATAGCAAATGTTCTTTATGTTATTATTTTAGCTATGTGATCTCTTTTTGGTGTCTAGACTTGCAAACTATTCTGCTCCGACTTTTCGTTTTTGTTGAAGTATTCATGTTCGACTACAGAGAAATCTTGAAAATCTGTAAAAAAGAAAAAACGAATATAGCCAAGTGCGAGTAACATAGCTTGCAAATGCAAATCTATGGTACTCTTATTGATTACTAATTGATAATTTTGAAATGGATGTCTTTGATACATCAGAAAGTTAATCGGTTACAATGATGTTTAGCTATTTCTTAGTGCAATTTGCCTCTGTTTACCATTTGTCAGCTGATAATATTGGTGTTCAACTTTGAAGCTTAAAACTAAATTATAGGTGATTTCTTCCAGGACTAGAATCAGATGAAATTAGCTCATTCTTAGCAATTTCTGATGCTTTTTAGTTACATGATGCCATGAATCATCTGTTTTCACTTGTAAAGAAATCACTTGGCACTGTTTTCTTTTTTAAGTTTCATCAATCCAGTCTTGAGTTCACTGATTCTTCGTTTACATTGATAATTTGATATCTAGATGCTATTAGTGAGCAAGAATCAAATGGTTATCTGCTTATTGCTGCAAGTGGAGGACTGAATCAACAAAGAACAGGAGTAAGTGGAATTACTAATGCATTGTGATTTATTTTTTGGGTAAATATCCTATCGGAAGATCTTGAACTTGCATCAATGACAAACGTAACTCATCTGTGAGTGTCTACAGAGTACTGTCACTGCATTATGTATATTGAACCAATAAGCTCTGCCTCAGTTAATTCGAATAAATTTCAATGTGCCTCTTCAGTTAGGCGTCGTATTGAATTATTTCCTCCAGCTGCATTAATCTTCATTTTCTTAAATTATTTGTACTTGACACCCGTATCGGACTTATATTTAGATATGAATATGAGAATATGATCTTCCGAAGATTCACGTTGCATGCATTTACGCATCTGGTAGTCACACCGAGTCTCTGTGTGCTATTTCTTTAGAAGTAATAATTTGTTTCTGGTACACAGATATCAGATGCCGTAGTTGTTGCACGGATTCTTAATGCAACCTTAGTTGTACCCGAGTTGGATCACCATTCCTATTGGAAGGATGATAGGTGAGTTGAATCAACTTATTAGTTCTGCTAAATTGATTATGGCCCTATTCCTCTTTTGCCTTGTTAAGTATTTGTTTTTACTAACATGCAGTGACTTTGTCAATATTTTTGATGTCGACTGGTTCATTTCTTACCTAGCAAAAGATGTTACTATTGTCAAAAGAGTTCCTGATAAATTCATGCGATCGATGGAAAAGCCTCCATACACGATGCGTGTCCCAAGGAAATCACCTCCAGAATATTATCTAGACCAAGTTCTACCAATACTTAAAAGAAGACATGTAAGACCACTTGCAGATAACTAATGCTAGTTTAGATTGATTATAAGGAATAATTTCCACAATTCGGCTCAGTTTCTTGTTCATTCCCTCGGTTGTCTGATTAATAGCTTAGAAGAGAGTTGGATCAACTTCCAGGCACCATGTTAGTAGAATGTCATTCTTATTATATACATTTTCTAGGATATTATGATTTTCATGTTGGAGTGCAGCATTTAACACAGGAAATTTTGTAGGTCCTGCAACTGACAAAGTTTGATTACAGACTGGCCAACAACATCGACGAAGACTTTCAAAAGTTGCGTTGCCGGGCTAATTTTCATGCTTTAAGGTTTACAAAACCTATCCAAGAACTTGGACAAAAACTTGTCATGAAAATGCGTGAGAAGACTACACGTTTTATTGCAGTCCATTTGAGGTTTGGTCCAAATTCTAGGACTATTATTGGTGTACTCAATAATAGAACATTGGTTCATAAGCATGCATAGAGAAACATTCTTAAACATGATTTTAAACTCTGCAGAGACCTTTTTTCCTTATCTGACTCTAATATTTTCAATTACAGACTCGAACCTGATATGCTAGCGTTTTCTGGTTGTTACTTTGGAGGAGGGGACAAAGAGAGATACAAGCTTGGAGAGATAAGAAAACGATGGGAAACATTGCCTGTGAGATACCGACTTTTATGATTTTGGAACCATTTATAAGCATTGCCTGCATTCACTTAAACTGCACTTATCCTTGTATTCGTGCAGGACATTGATGCCGTTGCAGAGAGGAGGCGAGGTAAATGTCCGCTTACTCCCCATGAAGTAGGCTTGATGTTAAGGGCACTTGGCTTCCAAAACGACACATATATCTACGTTGCATCTGGAGAAATATATGGTGGAGAAGAGACTCTGGCACCACTAAAAGATCTCTTCCCAAACTTCTATACAAAAGAGATGTTTGCAAATGAAGAGCTGAAACCTTTTCTTCCCCACTCTTCTTCCCTTGCTGCCATCGACTACGTTGTTTGCGACGAAAGCAACGTATTCGTCACCAATAATAACGGAAACATGGCCAAGATCCTCGCTGGTCGAAGGTGAGAAATCTAGTTGTTTCGGGTACATCTTCAGCCTGATTATTTCTTTGTGTAATGCTTCGTTGTTTTGGAATGGAAGGAGGTACATGGGGCACAAGAGGACCATAAGACCAAATGCCAAGAGGCTGAGTCCATTGTTGATGGAAAGGGATCAAATGGATTGGGATACCTTTGCCGAAAAGGTGAGGGCGGTTCAAAGAGGATTCATGGGAGAACCGGATGAGATGAGAGCCGGACGTGGTGAATTCCATGAGTATCCGTATTCTTGTATATGCGAGAAGCCGGCAAGTGATACCGACGGCAACAAGAGCGGAGATCATCGGTTACAACAGTTTATAGAAAATCAAGGATCGAGGAAGAGAAGCAATGAAGAAGAAGAAGAGGCAGTTGTAGGAACCAAGGAGGATGAACATGAAGAAGTATTTCCTGACTAAGTGGAGAGGAGAGTTCAGCAAGTTTTTATTGAAGGCTTGGTTTGCTAGATGAACTATATTGATGTTATTAAATCATTAATTTATTAAAAATACTCTACAATGATACATGATTTTGATTTTTCTTTGTTAAATAGAGAATTCTATTGACGTGTAGATTTTTAAAAGGACATGAGTGTAAAGACTTAGTTCATTGACATTAAAATCTAAATAAATAGATATAAAAAATATGGATATAAATGCTTGACTAAAAAGTTGAGTTATTTACAAAAATTGATTTAAAGAAACGTTAACGAACTAAATGACATCGGTGGTAAAAAAATTATTAATGTTCTTTGAGGTTCAGGTTTGAGCATGAATGTCAGAGTGTAAACGTTCAATATCAAATGATTAAGAAATATCTTTGAATAGATATTACCTTATACTTACCTCATATTAATTAAAAAAAGAAAGAAAGAATATAATTAGTATTGATACAAATCGTTAAACATCAATCGTTAACATGGACAATCCATTAAATATAACACTAACAACTTTTCTTTTAATTTTTTTTTGAAACTTCGTAATTTTAATTTATTGAATTCTTGAAGTTAAATATAAATAAAATCGAGTTGACTCAAATCCAAATTACCAAATCATTATGAACTCGTGATATGCAAGTCACCAGCTCACCACGGAACTGTATAAACGAGTTCTCATCGACTGGAGAAAATCACCTTTTTAATTTCCTCGCCGTTAATGTTTTACCTTACGGACAGTCTGGAAGAATGCAGAACAAAAACGAAATAAACATATGCACGTTGCTTTGCTTTGTGTTCTAAAACCTTGACCGTAAAATAAAATACATCTTCTCAAATACATACTGACTATATTCTATGCAAAATACATACTTCCTTTTGTTTTCCCTATTGGAATCTCCATTTAGCAGCTTAATTTCTCCCTTTTGGATCAATAAAAATATCTATAAAGAATCCGAAAATTTCAAAATTCATGGCCTTTGACTGAATCCAATTCTATAAAATTGATATTTTAAAATATTCTAATTCAGAATATATCGGAATAGTTTTTGTGATATCATTTAAAATAAAAAATTTCTAACCTAACTTGATTCAAAATAATAATTATTATAATCTCTATACATATTCAAAGATGGTTATTATAAAACTCTTACGTCGTATTTATCTTGTTAAATGTAATCGGACGAGTTGGGTCAAGACGGGTTTTTACACCAAAATTCGAGATAAGAGCTGGTGGAAACCTTTAATTTTCAGGTAGGAGTCGGGACGGTAACAGCCAAAACGACCCACCCCATCCCCGTACTTATAATACTGCATGTCGTGCATATTACGGAACGTAGAAAGCCATGGGCCAATGAGAACTCATATTATAACTATAAACAAAACTAAAAATCAATTGAAAAATAAATATTATAAAATCTACTGCTACATCTCAAATCCAAAGAAGCAATTCTGGTTCCTAGCTCTATCTGCCGTGTCATAAATTACACTATTTAATGTTTGCCTGCTCATCCAATTTCTCAAAAGACTGGATTCCCATGTCGCAAAACAGCTGCCTTCCTCTCAACCTTGGTTATTTCCTGTTATATAGACCGGACTGATTACATTACACGCATGGTCGGTGCACATTCGACGACAAGCAATACGAAAAGGAATGGTAAACATTACATTGCTTGAAGAATACCAAGTGATGAGAGATTTAAACTTCACCTCTAGTACTCCTGCTTTGACCTTTGTCGTGCAAAACCGGAACTTTCGAGACGAGCAATGAGCTTTGCAGTCCTTCCAAGAGCTGCGGACGACAAACAAGATCGGTAAGCCACACAAAGACAAAGAGCAAAGGAATACATCTGTTTACTTACTCTTGATGTCGGCTGAATCTTCCGATTAGATCTACGAGGTTCAACAGCTTCAGAGACGGTTTTAGTTTCCTCCTCAACTCTAGCCGACTTCCCAGAACCCGGTGCAAGTTTCCCTTTACTAATGCGTTCAGATTTAGCATTTGAGATGGAAGCTTTCTCGAGGATTACATCTGATGAGGCAGCCATAGAAGAAAATAATACCCGGCACTCTGCTGCTCCATCTGAACTTGGAAACGATCTGAACTCAGTGTTATGCTCTCCTGATATATTCTCAGCATCATCAGGTTTGGAACCCACATTGCTTGATAAGCTGTCCTTCTGAGGAACAGTTCTACTAGAAACACTGGGTGTTTTTCCAGACTTTAGAACCTTAGGCTTGGATACAACCATTCGTTTTTCCTTTGGTTCAATTTTACTTTTTGTTCTACCAGGCTCAGGTCCCCGAGGCATTGATTTTTTTGTAAATTTAGCAGAATCACTTGTTTCATGAGTTCTACTGGTCTGATCTGCAACATAATGTTTGCTTACTTCCATAAACTTTCTCTTCTTTCCTGGCTTAGGAACACCAAAAATAACCCTTGAACCTTCCTTTTTCAAACCCGAACGTTTCATTCTTTGTGAACCAAGCATACTCTCATCCCTAGTGCATTTACCAATATTAAATATTTTTTCACCCACAGGTAAATCCAGCAATCTCTTGTCATCAGGTTTCTTAGATTCCTCATTGTCAAAACTTTTTGTTCTTTCGTCTTTGGAATCTGCCACGGGACTTCCAATCCTTGGTCGCTTTTCCAGTGGGGTATCACCCTGAAAACCAGATCAACTACTTAGTCCAAACAAGCCATTAAAGTATTTTCAGAGAAACGTCTGCCAGAAATATAAGTCAATGTATCACCTCACGGGAAGAGCCATCATTATCCCTGGAACTGGACCATTCAACCCAGTTACGATTCTTCCACACCAGAGAAGGACGTAGAAGCCATGCTTTAACAACAGATGTTTCTCCTTGAGCTGCAGTAAAAATAACAAATAAAACCTTTATAATTCTCAAAGCAAAGGCTGCATAGACATTAATTCAGAGAAGATAACAAACAAGATTATTAACGTCACAAATACCGGGAAAATGGACAGTATACGATGTTTCATCTTTCTTGCTCTGCTCTTTGACAACTCCCTCCCACCAGCTGAAAGTCAAATATTTCAACACGGTAAATCTAACAGTATCCAAAGTAACAATATTACTAGTATATTATGTTTTGAGTATGCATAAGAAATAATGGATTCATTTTGTAGTATATGTTCAAGGGAAATAAGACAAACACTCATGTAGCTAGTTTGGCTAGCAAATCATTACAAATTATCCTTTCACTACATACTCATAATTCATATTGATTTTTTAATGCCCAAATTATCTTCAATAGTAACATTCCTTTTCCGATCCGATGCACTACAAGAATATATAGAAAACAATGCATGCATACCTATCTTGCATCCATGCATCAACACTATCTCCAACGGACCAATTATAGTCCTCCATGGCACCCCTGCGCCTCTTCCTCGTTCTTTCAAATGGCATGACTGTAATAGGACGAGCAGTGCGTATCCTGGGTGTTCTATCCCCTTCACCTTCAAGCTCCACCCATTCCTTTAGCCTATCACCATCTGTAAGACCCATCAGTCAAAACAAGTTTGTTAAGAAAGCAACCTCATTAATTTATATGTGCATGAGACAACCTCCAGTTATCTCCAAAGAAGATGATTTTCACATAAGAAATCATTGCAACACACTAGACGTGTAGACAAATACATTAGAAAAGTAAGGCATCCTCATTTTGGTGTATTTAATTGTATATTTTATCTCCCCATACATCATTCAAGTAGAAGTCCAGATTCAGAAAAGAAACAATCTTATGCATTATTCCCCAAAAATAAAGTAAAAAAATTGGCTAGACATCAACATGGGATTTATTAAAAATTAAGGACAAGGATTGTCTAACAGATGATCTTTATTTATTATCATCACTCAGTTGATTCAACCAAAGCAAGCTATGTGTTATAGCTCACCCTCTGATCGAAGTTCATTGTAACAAACGTAAGCTTTGCCATCTTTCAAATCCAGAATATCAGCTAGGAACCATGCAACTTTCGAGCAACCTCCATCTCTCAATACCTATAAATCAGGAAATGGTAAATTGTAAATGATCATACAATGAACCTAAGATCAACAAAACACGTTCAACTGCAACACTTTCCTAAAGTAACTAAGACAAATGCAAAAAATTTCAAATGCAACGGTATATGGACATTTCCATGAAATAAAACTGCATCGTTAGAACTCAGTGAAACATAATTTACCAAAGATTAAAACCTAAACTTATATATCAAGTACAATCTACAAACCTCAACATGGGAACCTTCCCTCATATTGTTATCTTTCAAAGTTTCCTCTTCTTTCCCATGTTCAGCATTAGTGGGCACTCCTGTACTTTTGGCAATATCTGAAGCTTTGAGGCCCTTTTGTCCCATTTTATCATTTCCAAATGTTGCAGCAGCACCCAGAATCTCATCTGTCAGCCTGGAATGATCCTGCATCGACTCTCTGGCCATATCTCTAAGAAATGATGACATTTCATGGTTATTACTCTGCTTCTCGCTCTTATCAATGGGAACCTCTTGTGGATGCCGGGAAAATGAACCAGGAGCCTCCACATTACCACCTTTCTTTACATGTTCTTTGACAACATCATCTGGCTCAGAAGGTGCATGGGGTACTTTCCAGTATGCCTCTGGACCAGCTTCTACCAATTTAGTCAATGAGAAAGGCTCACCCATAACAATTTTCCCAGCCTGTGATACTGCTTCAGCTGCCAGCTCAGCAGCCTTAACAACAGCATCCATGTTTTCGGCTTGCTTTGACGCAGCTGAAGCAGCTTCTACCCTACTCGTAGAAGCTTCCTTTGCAGCAACAATAACAAAATTTGAACTAGTAGCAGCATCTTCACCCCTCAAGTCAGATGCAGGAGTTGCCTTGTCAAGGTTCACACTACCAGAAGAGATTGCATTAGTAGTTGGAAGAGGATTTCTGTAGCCACTTGAGACCGATGCTTCATCAGCCATCAGCTTTGCTTGTATGGCAGCATTTGAGGCAACACTGGCAGCTGCAGCTGCAGCCTTTGCAACAGAAGCAGCTGCTGCAATTGCGACAGCTGTGGAAGTCAGCTTAGTTTCAACATCTGGTACCAACTCAGAATTTTTCTGCTTCTCCAACTGATTCCATATTTCCCGAGTGTGACTAACAGCAGCAGCAGCAAGGGCAGCAGCAGCCTCAGCCTGCTTCTGTGCCTCCTTGAGTTTACCAAGGGTCTCTTCAGACAGAGTAGCCTTCTGATCTGAATCTCGATCACCATTTTTTATATGATCAGCAGCCACAGATGTAATAAAATTGTTAGTGGGCAACTTTGAAATAATGGTAGCAGGGCTTGTAATACCAGCAGGTGTAGAGGCATGACTATTCACAACAGTAGCCAAAACAGACTCTGCTTGAGAATGCAGTATAATCTTCCCAGGGTCCTCAGAAACAGACTTTTTCCTTTTTCTAGGCTTTGGATCAGCAGGATTCTGACTAGATCTGGATGTTACTTTTTTGTTATCAAGCAGGGGAGTCCCTGCAAAGGCATTAGCAGGACCCTCACTCTGGACTGTAAGAACTGTGGAAACCTGCCTAATGACAGAAGAATTAGGCACAGTTGTCTCTCTTTCTGGTGTTAAATTAACTGCTTCTGTGATGGGAAGTACAGGAAAATGAGCACTGCTATCAGATGCGGAACTCTGTGGAACCCAGGGGCCACGAAAAGGGTATTGGGACACCCAAGGAGCATTATGTCCAACAAAATTCCTTATAGGTGAAGTATGCAAAAGAGAAAGTGATTGCCGATAATCCACAACTGCACCTCTTGGAAAGCTACTAGGTTGAACAGCATCACCGGCAGGCGTAGGAATAGTCCAAAGTGGTGAGGAAAGGGGGATCATTGGCTTTTCAGTTGTTGTTGGAGTACCCCTCCCGCTAGACTGACTAGCAGGTGAGGATGTAATCTTAGTCTGCAGTACATTTTGTTTGATTGATTGATCAGGAGTTTTAGCACCTGAGCATCTCACCAAGGCATGCAGTTAATAGGCAACAGAACCAGAATATATTATTTCAACAATTTAAGGTCAAGATAGATACCTATATGTGCCTGCAACGGAGTTTCAGGGTTTTCAAGATGAGATTTTTGACAATGTGCCCTGTCCATACATGCTCGCCAGGCTTTCTCCCATATGGTTCTTCCATCTGCATTAGATGCAAAATAGTTATTATATATTTTTTATTTTTAAAAAAGTCCAAGGTAACATAATAGCTAAGGATAAGAAAACCGAACCAGGTCCCCCAAATGCTGATATCATACAAGACTCATCCGGTACTGTTAATTGACTGCAACAACAATATATTAGATAGCTGAGCTAAAATGATTAAAAGTCCCAAGGAGAAAAGCAAAAGCCATAGACAACTAGATTTGACAATGATATTACAATGCCAAAACATGTCAATGCAGTACGAATATATACCAAAATGAAAAGAAAAGTTACACAACTTACATCAGAGCTCCATATACAAAAATTTGCGCACGCAACTGAACTTGTTGCAAATCTGTAAAAGGCTGGTGAAAAACTGCAGATGAAGAACTGAGGTTTTTTAGTCCAGCAAACTAGATACAGACAAAAAAAGAACACTAAATGGTTTCATATTACCACCTTCCATGTGTTCAAAGTGCTGCATCTCATTGGATTTCCCAAGCTGGCCAATTTCAGCTGTACTGAGTGATGCATTACCTGTTTTATCACTTCGTTCTGATTGTCTTGCAGGGGTCTTATCTTTTCCAACAATGCCCTTTTTAGCAGCTGCCTTTCCTGTGCTCTTACTTCCTGCTCGCCTTGTTCTGCTCTCAGAAGTCCCCTTGGAGCCACCACACACATTCTCCCTCTTGGATGTCTGAAGATTTGAGCGACTCACCTCTTCAGCTGTTTCGGGACCCACTTTGGTTGACCCAGAGGTTGATGGAGTTCTGTCACCAGCCTTCTTGATGTATGAACACAAGAGTGAGAGAACAAGTGCAAGAGAGCATGACCAGGATAAAATGATAAAATATAGCACCACAAAATACTTGAAAATAATCATCTAGAAAATAAAAATCAGGAAACTATTAGAGCAAAAAAAGGTCCACTTCAAGAAAGCAGCACTTACCGAGTATATTTTGTCATGCTGAACACTAGCAAAAGGTTGCCAATTCCTGTCAACTTCTGTTTTCGACAAACTTTCCATTGGAGGAACCTCAAAGGTGAAACTTCTGTCCATCGAAGATGCATCATTTCCTTTAGTATCCTGAGAAATAGAGTGCTCTTTGTTTGCTTCCTCACTAATGATCCCAGACACAGAAGTTTTCAGATCTTTGGATCCTTTCACAGTATTCATTCCAATTTTACTTTCTGGCTGCTCGGAAGTCCTAGTTAGAATTGGAGATCCACAGAAAGGATTGTCAAGATCAGCACTACTACCACATTCCTTCAAGTTAGTTTTACTTTGAGATTCAGATGAAGATGCAGAAGGAAAGGAACTATCATATGTCTTCGCATGATCACCTGCAAAATCAAATTTATCCATCAAAAGAATAACATGAATTAATGAAGGAGGGAAAAGGAAAACCAACGAATATCATGAATCAATGTGATAGGGAAAACGGAACACTGATGAAATAGTCCCACAAGAATATAAAGCCATGAAAGAGGTTAAGCATGCAATTAATTTATGGACTGTGCATCCCTAGAAACAAGTCAACAGTTCATAAATTACCCTTAAACAGGAAATCACTTCACGGGAAGAAATTCCAAGCAAAAGGAGATACATCCCAATAAAACCTAGGGGTAAGTGGGAGAGGGTGGCAAAAACAGAAGACAAACCAACTTTTACCGACATGACAGATAACCGACCTATGGGACAAGAATGATAAATGAAGGATTCCACCATGACAGGCTTAAAATATCTAATTACAATTACTTCAGGGAAAAATGATAAAGAAACTCACCATCAGCATGATGCACATCAATATGACCACTAAACTCTTGAGAATGTAATTTGGGGTCACTATCTTCTGGATGATTTTGGTCAGCATGGGACAGTTCCTTTGAAGTTGAAGGGACAGAATTTGTTGATGTCTTGTTCTTCTCTGGAATGGATCCAACACCTGAGGGAAATTTATTGTAGTGGACATTACCTTGTGAAGTTCGAACAACAAAATGCAAGGATATGTGCTTCGTAAAGTGTAAACAGTGGCTCATAACAAAATAATGGCAAGGGAACTAGGATTCAGCAACATCATGGCAAGGTATGAACAACAGTAAAACCACAATTAGTTAGAACTGCTCTAGCTGTAGCATACTACCAATAGAATTTGCATAACCTATTGGTTTAATACATTTGAAATTGCCAACAAAGGTTATTAGAGATGATTATTAGGTAAACCAGAAGTCCTACAAAACATAAAAGGTCACCTGAAGGTCCTGAAGAACCCCTAGAAATAACTTGAGCTTCATCATCATCAGTCTCTTTTACAGTTGAATCAGAGATAACAGAAGATGCATGTATATCCTTTGCAGCCTCCAAAGTGACACTGTGAAGTGTCTGTTCTCCACTTTGGCCAACAGCATTGGAGGTGTCCTCCATTGACAAGGACTGATCATCTTTCTTACAAAAGGACTGTCCACCAGTCTCACAAGATGCACCTTCGGATGAGATTCCAGAAGTCTTTATGATTGAGAAACTTGCTTCTGGAGATGAGCTTTGAACCTCCTTTGGATCCAAAACAGCAGCAGCAGGAAGATTCTTACCAGAAGGCAAAAGCATACAATCTGCTGTATCACAATAACACCAAGTTAGCAAATGATGCGGAGGTAAAAGAAAGCAAAACAAATGAAAAAAAAGTTCAGTTATAAAAATTAATGCTTAAAATCTATATTACCTGACTTGCCACTAATGGCAACATCAGATAGAAAAATTGAAGCTAATTCATTTCCTGTGTCACCTGTGCCGAAGGAAGAGGAGTCACCTCCCTTTAATACAATCAGAGATCCACCCTCCATGCAATCTGTTTTACTACAATCAGAAGTCGATTTGGTGTTCTGCTTTTCAGCAGCTGAAACATTCTGCTCAAATTTTGAATCATCAGTATGTTCAGTAACTATAAATTCTTCATCTACTCTCATCGGTTCTGCTCCCAAAGTATTGGGGGCACCATCACCTTCACCCATAGAACCTTTACCATCTTCCTCAGACAAGAAATATTTCTCAGACTTGCTGCTCAAGATTTTTGGATCAGAGTGGCAATCACTTTCTGGCAAATCTTTCTTCTCTGTGGCATTAGATGTTATCTGCACCATTGAATCCAAGTTATCCAACTTTGATTCTCGACTCACAGAAATTTGAGTATCAATATTGCTGATTTCACTTTCCTGCTCCTTAATGGTAGTAACACCAACAAAGGGCATTGGTGATATGTCATGTAACGTTCCTACAGATAAGACATTATCATTGGATATGTCAGTCTGCAGAGTACTTTCTACACCCAAGCCCTCACTGCACCCTTCCACCATATGGAGGTCAGAATTCTCTTTCAATATCCTATCAGAAGGCTCCCCCACAGTAGGTATGATATTTCCAACATGTCCATCTTCCCCAGATTGCATGTCTGAAACTGAATGCTTATGCACATCTGAGGTAACACTTGCAACTGCATTTCCAATCAAGTTCTCACCATCAATGTGAATTTCTTGGCTCAAAGCAACACTTTCCCTTGCTAAACTGACCACATTTTCATCAACAGTAACATTTTTCAAATATGTTGTATCTTGCCTCTCTAAAAGAGCACTATTTGCACAGGCATTTTGCACAGAGGAAATCAAAATATCAACTTGTGACCCTGAAGCAAAATTATCTACCTGTTCCTTGTTATCTACAAATTGATCAACCGAAGCTTCCACTTGATTTTCATCTTTAGACTCATCTCTCTTAGGTAAGTCAGTGTTTCCCGTGTTTGGAACTTTCAATGTCCCATCAACAGAGGAGTCAAATTCATGTGTAGGAGAAACATCTTGAACTAACAGATTGTCTCCTGATACATCAACTTTCACCCCAGAAAATTTTCCAGGAATCTCATCTGTCTGTAAGACAGGCTGTATTCCATCCCCAACTTCAGGAAGACCACTACCTCCATTCGTCAAACTAGGCTCCATCTGCTTTATTATGCCACCCAGTTCATCACAGGCATCTGAATCCTTACTACTTTCACAGGAGTTTTGCACAGGTGGAACCATGATATCAATTTGTGACCCAGAAGCAAAGTTATCTACATGTTCCCTGTTATCCATGCATTGATCAACTGATGCTTCCACTTGATTTTCACTAACAACAATTTGTTCATCATCTTTAGACTCATCTCTCACAGATAAGTCAGTACTTCTCATCTTTGGAGCTTTCAATTCATGTGCTTGAGAAACACTGTCAACAAACAACAGATCTCCCAATACATCACCATTTAACCCAGAAAATTTTCCTGGAATCTCACCGGTCTGTGAAGCAGGTTGTAAGCCATTCCCTACTTTAGTAAGATCACTATCTCCATGTTTCAAACTAGGCTCCATATGCTTTATTATGCCACCGCCCAGTTCATCATGGGCATCTGAATCCTTACTAGTGGTTTGACCAAGAATACTATCGTCCTGACCTACAGATTTTAATAGCATTTCAACCGATTCAGAAGAGGCTGCCTCAGACCAGACATTGTTTCGTCTAGAAATTGAACAAGGTTCAGCTGCGCTCGAACTAAATACAATCTCAGTACTCCCCTGTGAAAAATCTTCGATCCACTGGTTATCTTCACAACTTTCAATGCCAAGAAAAACTTCAGTTTCAGCCAGACTATCAAATCTTAAATGTCCATGAAGGTTATCATCAAAATCAAATCTTGGGAGACCATATGGGCGTAAAACAGGAGGAAATTTACTGTTCCCTTCGCCAGCTAAATGAAGATTCGGACTTTGGAGCTTATTGTCATTATAATCCATGAGTGTATCCCTACAACAGAAAAAACTTAGAAGAAAAATGGGTTGTTGAATGCAGTTCAAATATTACATAGGTAAAGGGATCAGACTCCAGACTTTTAAGAGTATCCTTGTACAATGTGAATGATGCAGGAAAGGTGTAAAGTTAAGAAGCTTTCTCTAATCACACTACCCAGTTCACTACTTCCTATAGAGTTGAATGCAAAATTACAGTTCAAAGAACAAAATGGATTAATTAATGCGAAGCATTAAAAAAGATACTAAATGTTCACACTGAATAGCCCGATGTCATAAAAGAAAATGACTAGTAAAAATTAACAGTGTAGATAGTATTTTTTTTTTTTTGCTTTCCCAATATAGCATGAAAACTCAAACAACTACATTTATGAAGTTTGATGCAAGTCAATTCAAAATAGGATAATGTTCGCAAAATTTTATTTGCATGTAAACATGCACAAAACCACTGACTCGAATACGTTAACTATAAAGTTATTTAAAGGAAAAAGAAGTGGCTCAATCTAAACTTTAACACTGAACTCTCGACTTCAAAAGGACAGACAAATGTTTTCAAGTTCTATTTAAACATGCAAATGAAAAACCTAAAACATAATTTGTTTAATAAATTACCAAGTAGGAAAATGAACAGTTACCAGAGCAAGTAAGTCTAAAGACGCTACCTCCCTCCATCCGGTGATGAAACCCAGGCTGTTTGATCTCAACTCCTCCCTAGTCCTACGGTCATTTACTGCACCATAAAACTCCAATTCATAACAAAAAACACTTTAACCACGAATAAAACAACAAGACGGAATCAAACTATGAACAAAGAGGAAACCAAAAAATAGAAGATAAAAGTAAAAGGAAATGTGCTTGAATAAAACCAAAGGTGACTGGGGAGATAATTAATTGAAGAATTAATGACTCACCAGAATGTTGAATTCTCCGGCTGATCGAGTTAGGGTTCCGGCAAACCAGTACAAGCAAACAAAATAAGTCAGTTAGAGAAAGGAGGGGTGAGGAAAATGATGAAAACGAGGGATGGTAAATCTTAATTTTGAACCAAAAATAAAATAAAAGTAAACCTCTAAAAATGGCGATCATCGGATGGCCCTCAATGCTTTGATATAAGACACGTGGCTAATTATAAAACAACAGTTAATGTTAACAAGACGGTGACTCTGTTTCGCGACAGACGAGTTCGATTTGCAGCATGTGGTGAAAATTGACGGTGTGTTATCTGTAAAATTATACTCTTCTCTCCTTTCAAAGTAGAGTGATTTCCCACATTTATAGCATTTTTCTGAGTAAAGATATAATTTTTTAATTTTAGAAAACTCCATCTAGGTATTTTTTTAATATTTTAAAATTTAATGAAATTTTAAATTAGAGTTTCAAATTTCTATTAATACTTTCACTATAATTTTTTATATAATTAATATAAAAAAAATAAAACGTTGATTTTTATGGAAAATGAAGGAACAACTCGCTTGATAATATATATTTTATCACATTATCTTTATTCTATATATCATGTCAACAAATAATTTATTTTATCAATATATTATCTTCTTTTTCAAATCAAAGTTTACTTCTTTTATCTTCTTTCTTTTTGGCTTTGATTGGATCTCGACTTGATGTTAGTACTTATTATATTAGGTTGCCTTATCCTTATTACTTGTGTATCGTATTCATAGTTTGATAATTTTTCTGATAAAATAATAATAATGTATTTCTTCACATAAGATATTATACATAAATTATTATATAAGATGTCATGTTGACCAATTAAAAGTTTAATTATTTAAGCTATATTTTATTAAATACCATCAGCTGAACTATTTTTAAAAGCTTGAGGTTAAATGCGACCAATTAATCTTGAAAAGCCCTCTTAGTTCCTTTCCCTTGAACAAGTTTTTCTACAGATAATAAAGATTCCGAGACGATATTGCTTCATCCAAATGAAATTTATCTCAAATGGAAATAAACATGCAGAACTTTCAAACTCAAGAAGATGAAGTCTAAAATCCAACAAGATAAAGCAATTAATATGCCTAAAAGCAACAGACAAACTCAGCGGTAGCGGCGAAGGGAGAGGGTGTTGTTTCTCTTCCAGGTTGCCCTTCGAGAAGGTCGATTCTTGTGGTGCAAGTGACCCTTTCCATGCAGACCCCTGTTTTTCTTTCCGGCAGATGTGAGTCCTCGAAGCTCCCTGTGCTTATGAACAGGGTTGCAGATCCAGTTAATCCTTGGGTCATTGCGGATCGCATTGTGTGCAACATCAACCAGGATAACCTCAAAGTACTTGTAAGTAGAATCCTGCAAAATCAAATATACACAAACCAATGAGCACAATACAGTCATCCAATGCATATTTAAAGGGCAAAACCAGAACATTTAGCAACTCCTACAAACCTCATTGATCCAGTACGAGTTTACAACTCTGAGACCTCCCAACTTTCGACCAGCACGCTCCTCTGCAACAGAGCGCTTGCTGCGCTGGAACTTCAATTGGGTAACACCCTGATTTGTGGGCTTACCATAGACAATACCCTTTGGAACAGGCCTCTTTCGACCACCCCTTCTAACACGAACACGATAAACCACATAGCCCTTTAAAAGAAGTACACACAAGCATGTGAGATGCAAACCTTTGAAAATTGAAAACAAACCACATTCTTCATATCATTTCATTTCAGAATTAACACAGGAAATCTCCATTTTTCTTCAAGTACTCAAGTCCGAAATAACATAAGTTAACGGATTCGTTACTACAAAGACCTTCCAAATACATGAATAGAATATGCTTCGGAATACTAAACTACAACCTTCATTTTGCTTGAAGTACTCGTCTGACATAACACGAGTACATGGATAAAATACACCAATGGTCGCTCAACTATGTTCAAATAACATAGGAATACGAACCCACCCAGAAATGGTAAATGGTACTTGCAAACAATAAGGATAAAATACACCAAAGGTCGCTCAATATTGTTCAAATGATCATTTTGATCATTAACATTTCAAAAGTTACAAAATGGTACTTAAATTTATCAAATTGTTATAATTGTAAAATTTTGACAAATCTAATGACATTTTCGTACATTTTGAAAGTTTAGTGACCAAAACCATCAGTGACTTCTGATGTATTTCATCCAACAATTAATTGTTAGATTTAAATCAAATCGAAAGAGCATCCATTGATTAAGTTCTGGAGAACAAACCTAAGCAAATCAAATTCTAAAGCTGTGTCGTTTAGAGTGAAAATGAATTGGAAAATCACCTGCTTGGCCTTGTAACCCAAGCATCGGGCCTTGTCAGGACGTGTAGGGTGGTTGACCCTAACGATTGCTGGATGTTGACGGTATTCCCAGCACCTCACCCTCTGTAAGAACCTCATTACATCCGACTGCTTCTTCCTCCATAGCTCCGAAACGTACTTGTAAGCCCCTACATCCATATAAACCCCATAGTAATCAACAAAAATACACGGTAAATAAAAAAGAAAAAGAAAACTGAATACTTCGTTCACAAATCTGGGGAAACAACCCTCAAACTCTTAAAACGAGCTAAACGAAGGTCATTTACCAAGGCAAAAATGAAAATCTGAAATGATCCAGATTATTTTAATTGCATTACGAAAAACCAAATGAACGCAGAAGAAAATTGATTGATAAGAAAATTGAGTTTGAGAGATTACCCATTAGCGAGCTGCGCAGAGATTGGCTAGGGTTTTCGGTAACAAGAGAAGAAAGCTAAGAGGGTGGCGGCCATACTAACCTTTTATAAAGGAATAGCCTGATTGTGTAAGAGCCGGCCACTATACATCTGGCCTTCATTGAGCATCTGCATCCTTCGGCCTAGGCCCAATTCTAAAATTTATTTTTATTATGAATTAAACTGGTTCAAATTATTAATGTAATAATAAAAAAATCATTTAAGATTCATGTTATTCGAATTTTAGACCTCAAGAAATAATAATAATTTATTTATTATCGATGTCGTTTGATTCGTACAATATAATAATAATAATAATAAATTTATTTACATCAATATATATATTATTGTGGATAAAAACGTTATTAATACAATTATTCAATCCATCATAATTAATCCAATTTTATTATTTTATTTGGTCTAATATATACTTTTGCATCTTATAATTTCATTTTGTCTATTTTATTTTTTTCGATTTAAAGGAGAGAAAAAGAACTATGTTCTTACATCAAACTCAGAGCGAGTTTATCATTATCTAAAAGACGAATGAGAGCAGGAGGGGGTTCTTCAAATATGGCAGTTGTGTGACCGAAAGGACTAGCTAGCTTTGCTATGACATCCGCATGAATCTTACCTTGACAAGGAGTCCACTGGATGACTGTGACCCAAGCTTTCCGACGAGCTCTGTCATTAACTCGAACAAAAGAGAGAGAGAACTAAATGCGGCATCAGTTTTTTCCAAGAGTTTAACTGCTTCAAGAGAGTTAATTTGAATCATTAGAAGTTTAAATCTTTGATCTCATACGAGTTGAAGACCAATAAATATGATCCAAAGTTCAGCTTGGAGAGGTTGCACGATTTCAATCCCGTTTTCTTAGGTTGATTGATTCTTTATTCTCACTGCGTTATATTATTTTTAGTATAAATTACATGTTTAGTATATAAATTATTATTTTTATTCTGTTTTGGTATCTAAATTTTTATCTTTTTTTTAAAATCACACTTAACGTTTATTTTTTGTTTCGTTTTCATACCTCGTCATTCAAAATTTAACAGAGTTGTTGTATGTGACACTTTTTTATAAGTAAATTTAATTATTTATCACTCAAATATCTTCTCACTCGTATTTTGGTCATTGAAGTTTAATTTTTTTATTTAATTACTTAACTTTCAAATTACTCCTAATTTAATCTCTTTAACTTTCAAGTTTAATTTTTTATATTTTAATTATATATTAATAAAATAATAATAAAAATATCATGTCAAAAAATAATTAATAAAATAAATTAGAGTGTTTAGAATAGGAGCAATTTGAAAGCTGAGTAGTTAAATTGTAATTTTTTAAGCTTTAGCGACCAAAATAGGAGTGAGAAGATAGTTTAGTGATTAATAATGTAATTTAATTGTAAAAAATATCACGTATAACAATTCTGTTAAGTTGTTAACGGCAAAATACCAAAATAAAACTAAACTAAACATTAGATATGATTTTTTTTTAAATAATGTTTAGGTATCATAATGGAACAAAAGTAATAATTTAGATAGTAAATGTATAATGCACCCTTATTTTAATTAAGTTAATTATTCAATTGACTATCATTTAGGTTAATTGACTTTCTGCTCTCATTTTATTACTAATGTCAAAAATAAATAAAAAAATATAACGGTATACATAGTTTCCAAAAGCTAATCGACTTACTTCTAACATAATCTCTAGTATTATCTTCGACCATCGATCTTTCATTTCTACATCTCTTCTGTTTCTTTCTATTTTATTTCTTTAATGAGTGAATTGCACCTCAAATTTTTCGGATCGGAGCAAAGGGAATTTAGGTCATTCAACTCTATCAGACATTATCATTTTGAGCTGTCAATGTCCTATCAGTAAGTCGATTGGATGTCGAGACGTCCAATTTAATTAAAGAAAAACTTTAGGTATCAATTTAAAAAAGTTACCAAATTCTGGTACTAATTAGTATAACCTAAAAGAATTTGTGCAAATACTTCCGAGTGACCAGCTGCACTTTATTCATAATTTTGAGGTCTCCTACGGAAGCTGCTCTCAACCTAGTGTTAGAGGTAACCTACTATCTTACCTCCCTTTACCCCATTACATATGGGAACGAGAGACAACCATTTTTTTTATATACAATTCAACAGCATGGTAGTTGATTGTTTCTTTCTTTAGAGTCTAGCAACTCGAATATGTTGCTTCAGTATCGGTCGAATGTACTCCCGGTATCCATCAGGCACTACAGTTTCATTCAAAGGATCCTTCCATGCTTCCTCGTATAGTTTCGGATACACATTTCCGTCATAGCGACCAAGAACCGAGCCAAGGAAGTGATCGGTGTAGTTGAATGCATCAACAAGTGCAATAGCATTCGGACGGACCTAAGAGAAAAAGAAAGAAGAGATCAGAACTTGTGGATTGCAGCAGTTTTTCAAGCAAAAGCACATTGTAAAGCAACTAACTCGGATTACAGACACAGACCTGGGAGTACAATAATCTCAGCTGTTCATTTGCTAGTGCACCTTGCTCCGAGGTAATGTAGCCGGAGGCAACAAATTCACCGAGATGTTTGTGTAACAGACTTAAAGCATATACATTGCATAGGATCTCCAACTGTCTTTTCACCCCCTTTCCGGGTATGCCTTGTTGCAGTTTCTCAATGAACCTGAAATATAAGTTTCTTAGAGAACTTTTCCGGTAAACAAAACAAACAATCAAGAATAATTGGATCCCATTCGGTTTCACATAGTTTATGCAGATGACGGCGATAAGAAACCTTATTAGTTACTAATTTTTTACCCAACATCCCGAGAGGATAAGACTGGAGAAGCTTACTTAGTAACAACGATTAACTGACAATGAGCAACTGCAGCCTCGGCCAAATCAGCTGAGAGTTCAGCAAAACCTAAAGAACAAACAAAGGGAAGCACATACGCACGTCAAAATTATGGATATCAACTTCAGTAGGGAGGCTCAGGCTACTGCAGAATCTTTGCCTTATAGCATCGACAACGTTTCGACTCGGAGTATGGAAATTTTATAGTAAGAAGTAAAGCATGACTACGTACTAGTGGACCATGCAAGAGTTAACTTGGTAGAGTAATATGTAAAGTGAAAAATGTACGGATAAAAAAGGATGATTACTCCTCGATCGTGATAGAGTGTACGTACCATCTTCTTGCTCTGGGAATTTGTTCAGGTTTTTCGCACAGGCAACAACCATCGAAGCAGCCCTTGCTTCAAATGCCTCCACTATTACGTGTGGCTTTAGCCAATCCTCAGCTGCAAGCCAACTTAAGATACGAAATTAGTATATTATGATTTATATGACCGATAATAACTTGTTGATGAGTACTGATGTAAGATTAACATGTACACAAGCCTATACATTAGCAACAGTAAATACGCATAATATATACCCTTTTCAACTTCACAAGGGCATTGCAAGAGGTGTTCTGCTCGTCCCATGTAAGCTATCGTTCCGACAGGCTTCTTTCCGGACCCCAGCTGGGAAACGGTCTTCATTAGAAACCTTCCAACCTAAGGAAACGTTTCCACTTACATTGTCAGTCAATGGCACCCCATCATCCATTCATCATTGTAAATATAACATCTAAGATCGATTAGTTCCCTAATTTCAGTTGAGATATCTCTTTCATGTTTTATACTATAGATTCATTCCATCTACATAAGATACCAAGAAACACCGAAGTACTAGTTAAAATGATATCGATCGAACACAAAGATTCACAAACTAAATAGCAAAACATACTACTCTATTCTCGGATTAAGTCTCCATTTGAACAATAGAATTCATCCCCTACAATCTAAAGAGCAAAATGAAGATGATGAAAACATGTAGTAAGTAGAAGTGATAATATTTCTCATTCAGCATACCTGTAAAAGCAGAACAACATTGTCACCTTCATAAGTACAGGCAGGGACGTAAACTGCAAATAACTCGGGGAGCCCACTACTAGACAGATAACCATGACCACCGCATAGTTTCCAGCATTCTTCAATTGCATCCTGCAACCATATTTATTTTGGTCAAGCTAAAAGCACCCAGAAAAAGATATCAAAAGAAAAATCAAGATGTCATTGACTTAATTTATAATAAATATCGAACATTTAGAAGTAAAGAGAGACCATAAATGCCATCAAAATGGTGATAAAAGGAAGCTCATACAAAAATAATTGGACAACAAAAATATACTAAGAAACAGAAAAAACATTCAATATGCTTCGAAGGAAGAGTGGTGAAGGTTAGTTGAGTGACATACTGCAGTTGCAGAAGTAGTAATAGACTTCAACCCCGCAGTACATGCATGAACCTCAGGTAATGTGGAGAAATCATTGGTTTGCAATCTTTGGGTCACATCCGTGTATAGCCATTCCAGCCACTCACCGACAAATCTGAAAGCATAGGCAGAAGCAAGCAAAGGAAATAGTCTATTTTGCTGTGTTTTGTAGCCAATCACCTGAAATAGAATAAATAAATGTTAAGGTATTAGATGCGCATCGGTCTTCAGTACATTTAAAATTAATTCTGAATATTCAGCAGCTGTATATCACATACTCTTGAACACAATTATCGGAAAGTTTCTAGGGAAACGGAAAGCTATTAGAAGCAATCATAAAAGGTAGCTGTATAAAACGACCCATACTTGAAACATGCATTTGAGTATAAGATCCAAAAGACGATGGTACCTGGGTCTCTGGACCACCATTCTGCGAACCAAATTGTCTACGGACAGCACTATACCTCGTTGCAATACAAACTGCCCTTGATAAGGCAGTAGAAGCATCAGCTACAATTGCTTGACGGACATAGACCATCGTACCATAAACCAGCTGGCGAGGAACATCAGATTGCATATATTTCCCTTCTCTTGTAACCTGTGAAACACTGGAGAGGAAAAAAGAAAAGCAACTTGTTTATCCATGAAAATCATACTATAGAAGTGAAACTTCAACTTAGATTTTAATTTATAAGTTTTTGGCTTCTCTCCGATGGTTTTCTTCTATCAAGGAAAGTTCAATAAATTTTACATTTCTGGGCACTCTAAAACTCCTGTAGAGTTTAGTAACGTATCAGAAAGTTTGGCAAATCTGAACTTATCATCAACTACCTTATATCCCCTATTAGATGGGCAACAGAGAAACTCAAATGACAGATAAAATATTAGACTTCTGAAAAATTTGACAGAAAAGAGACAAAGACGTAGAGGCATGATTAGAGAACAAACCCCATTAGCATTTGGTCCCTTGGAATGCGCACATGATCGAATCTGAGAACACCATTGTCCATGCTGTTATATGCCCCGCTTCCAAATTTCATTCCAATATCACCAACTGTTATTCCGGGAAGAGGTGAGTGATCATCCAAACTACGCAACTGGACAATAAAACCTGGAAAAAAGAAAGAAAGAGGAAATTCTGAATTAATATACTAATACTAGCAAAATAAGTTTGTTTATGCATTTCGCACTTACCGTGCACACCGTGGTCTTGTCCATCTGTTATAAGTCGAGCATAAACCACAGCATGTGTGGATACTTTACCCAATCCCCCAGGCCACCACTATAAATGAAAAGAATCCAATTAGCAAATGTTAAATCAAGAAAATACATTAAGATCGATTTAAGATTATATCCTCTACAGAGGCTGTGTAGTACATATATGAAAACTGCACTTGGACAAAAGAAAAAGAGGTTGTCTCATCCAAAAAGCATTAAGAATGACAATTGAAGCACCCCTCGTGATATATTTCACAGAATGATGTAATTAACTTGCTAGCAATTTACTCACTTTGCTTGAAGTCAATGTGGGACTATGAAGGACAAATTCATCAGTGTGAGGATCAAATGTTGCAGTAGTCTCAAGCCCTTGGACATTGGAGCCATGACCAAGCTCAGTTTGTGCATAGCATCCAATAATTTGCATCTTATATGCCATTGGAAGCCACTTGGCTTTCTGTTCCTCAGTTCCACTTCCTTTAATAGCAGGTATAAACATTCCCTGTCAGGAAAATATACATAGGAGGTTAAGAAAACACTTTAAAGACCATTTGTTAAATTCCAAACCCAGAAAAGAGAAGAAAAGAGAGCATCACTCTACATTAAATTTGGGAAATTAATGAAGTTAACAAAGATATTTACGTTTTCCAAAACATTTATGTATTACGAGTACTGAAGTGACACATATATTTACCTTTTGTTTTCCTTTATACGAGCACTTACATTTACTTCTGAAGCTTAGAAACATGAAAAGAAAAATAGGACTTACCCAGTGAAGATCTGTGAAAGCAGGCTGATCCATAAAAAACCTTAATTGACTAGCTTCTTCTTCTGTTGTAAGAAGATTTCTTGGTGTTAAAATAGGATGTCTAAGGGAAGGAAAAAAAAATCAATTTAGATGACGAAGAAGAGAAGCACGGTTGAAAACAAACCAGGGAGACGAAGCTCCATTATCCTCTTCCACGCATGAGCAGCTTTCTTCAAAGTATCTTTAAACAATTCCTTCCTAGATAGCATAGTTCTATTATCCTTTCGAAAAACCTTTACAAAATATAAACAAGATTATTAAAGAACAAAACTAAAAATGTCAATCAAAAGTTTGTAAAGCGTATTTTTCTTCATTTCACTGTCACAGACAAAAAGTTAATAACCAGTTCACCAGGTGATAGGAAACTTTGTAAAAACATATTTTCCTTCATTTCACTTACCAATTATGCCTATTCTTGTCAAAGTCAAACCAATCCACAACAACTAATCAAAGTCAAAACTTTAGCTTCAATATTTTCCCACATGTTCCCGGGAACCAAACAGAAGGAAAGCTCAAAAAGTAAAAGAATCAAAGGCAACAGTGCAAAATAGTAAGATATCTCCCATAATTGAATTTATGCCGAAACTTAAACAGTATTCCAGTTCTTTTCAATAATTTTGTCGACAAGAAAACAAATAAATCATCAGAGACAAAAACCAAAAGGCAAACAAACAGATCAGTGATTAACAACAAAATGATTAAAACATAGATTTCGCTTAGATAACAATAAATCAAAAGGAAAAAAAAAAAGAAATCACCGGATCACTAGCAACGAGACGAGCAACTCGATCGGAGATCTCATAAGCTTGACGAGAACCAGCCCAAACGATCTTCATCTCTTCCACGTCAAACTCTGCCTTTCTCCTCTCCTCCGCGTGGTAATCCAACGCCTCCATTGTTTTTGTTTCTGGATTCAAGTCAAAACTACAAAAAGAACAGATAAAAATTTGAAAAAGGAAGTCTTATTTTGATTTTGGAAATCAAGGGAATAAGTGGAAATAAATATTACTTCGTTCGCAGTGTTATGTTCGAATATTCAGATAACGTTGACGAGTGTCTTCGAATTACTGCATAATCTCACTGTCTGAAAGCAATATTTTATTTCTCTTTTTGTTCATGGTTTTTTCCTCACCGGTCTTTAAAAACACAAGATTTCCGCCGTCGCGGTTATATAATAGTGGGAGCAAAATAAAACAAAATAAATTAAATTACGAAATAAAGAAAAAACAACGGACCGACAAGTTTGAACATTATATTCGGCTTTAGGAACCATCCCGTTTTCCGTCCAATTATTGCTCATCCTTTTATACATTTAAAAAATATGCTTAATAATAGATATTTATATTTAAATTATTAATTCATTAATTCATATTTTATATTATAAAATTTCATTATAAGAAAAAAATTTAAGATGAGCAAAATAGTTTCATTATAAGAAAAAAAATAAGATGAACAAAATAGATTTTTCATACGTGGTGTTTGTTCATTTTCTTCTTTTATTTTCTTCAATTTTTTAGAAAAAAAATAAAATAGAAATTTAAAATTTAATATACAAAGTATTGTTCCTCAGATCCAGCGTAATATTAGGTTAGAATGAAAAGGATATACAAAGGTTGTTATCTCCTCTGCTCTTGCTGCGGAGTGAGGTTTACTATAGGTTTTTTTTATTTAGTTTCTTCTTTGTGGTTGTATTTGTTCTGTATAAAGATAGTTACTCCGGATGAATAATATATAATTTATCCCATAAAAAAAGAATTTGTCAATAAAAAATAACTATCATTTAACGAACAATTTAACAGACGACATGAAAATAATTATTATGTGAAACATTAAGCAATTATCCTAACAAAAGAATTAATTAAGCATTTAAAAGGGGAAAAAACGGCGACGTTACAAAATTTTAGAATCGAACACTTACTTTGTAATAAAACCTTTATTTTATTTCGAGAATTGTGTTGTTTGTATCTCTTTGATAAGGATTGTGACTTCAGCATAAGATTATGGGTTGCCTTGAACTGTTTCTGTCCCAAATTATAGAACGGACACAAGCCAACTACCCCACTATCCCACTAAGCTTTCATGGTGGGCTGATCAATATCGCAAAATAAAGACATGTTTGTTTTTCCCCCCACGGAACTGAACCGGTGAAACTCCATATCAAGTCATGAATGATTATGTGGTAACGTGGTCCAAGTTCGACTCGAACAATAACCTGTTCTACTCATAAATCCCGAAAGAATCCGACTCGAGCTTAAATACAATAATATTTGTGGATACATAGGAATACATATAATTGGATCCAATGTTTCACTTACAGGCCAAGCATGAGAAGATCAACACTATTTTTGTTGTATCATAACTGTGAATATCGCCAGCTGTAACCGTTAAATGTTAATCCGATGATTTTCAGTTGAAGCAGTAGCTGCAAGTCTAATGCCTTCTTCCAGGTAGTCCGAGCTACGGATAGGTGGAAATCTGCAATGTAATAAGAGAGAAAAAAAGATACTATATGTTGTGTTGTTCAGATACCCATGAACATACCTGTATCGGGCTGCATTGATACCTTGGGGGACAAGACTCACTGCAGGAACTCTCCAAGCATTCCACTATACAGTCTTTGTTGGGTTCTAGAAAGAATGCCACCTGAAATGTTGCAATATATGAACTTTCAAGACAAATTTGAAGCCTCCCTCGATTGAAAAGTGCAGATATCGAGATCAAATCGAGACTTTGGAGTTTGGATCCCAAAGGAATGTTATGACATTTCAATCTTTTGATAGAATGTTCAACGAAATGTTTCAAACATAACTTGAAGTTGAAAGAAGCGCAAATAGATTCCCGGACCACTTGAAGCTACCCAATAACACATAATAAATGACTGTGAGAAGTATATAGGAAAGCACAATGTTTACCGAGTAGCGTTCTTGTCCGGTTGGCATCACTCGGTGCATTGTTGACCTAGAAACGGTCGAAACTAATCAGAGGGAGAATGGGAGATTCATTGAAACTGCCATTAAAAAACCACTCCATGAAACGAATGAAATTACCGGAACAAACAATTAGTCCACCTCTCCATCATGTCCCCAATGTTAACGATGAATGCGCTGTTCAGATCGGATGCTCAGAGGCCAAATTTGATAAGAACACAGCCATTTATACTAATCATTTACTCACCCACTTATGCTTGGCACATCCTCCCAAACTCTCTGTTGCTCGGATTTTTCCCGGCAAACCTGTTAGTGCCAACGGTGAAAACATGTTGGTATCGAAATGCAAAAGTTAAAAGGTTGCTGTTATAAAAGTGAACATGCCTGAAGCCCTGGAACACCATCAGTCAGCAGTAGAGTGACCATTCCATAATCCGAATGTGCAGGAGCACCATATTCCCTTTCCCTAGAAGAGTCCACGTCCCCTAATATCGAAAGACACATCATCATAATCTAGAATTTCTGTACAACTTTTCATCACATGCTGCACTGGGATAATGAGAATTGACCTCAGTAAAGGATTCCAAAACATAAAATCTTAGTTCTACGGAGAAGAATATATATATATTTGTATATAATATTTTCATATAGGACAAAAAAATGGGTAAGAAAGGAAAGTAAAAAACATAGGAAATATAGAACACATCAGTAAATGGCACCGATATATAAAGATGAAATGCAATGTCACTAAACCCGGATAGTGTATTAAGCTTAAAAAGGCCATCGGTTTACTCAAAGCTCCCGATTTTTGAAAGAAATCTTCATCCAAGTTCAAAGCCAAGGCAATTAAAGAAATTAACTTAATCCCAGCAGACCTGAAGCAGCAAATCTAGTATTATCTTAAACTAGTCGATTCTTTCCATATATTGTGGTGTAACGTCTTGACGGGTAATATTCCGAGCAATGTAAATTGTATATGTTAGAACAGCAAAACACCATGATTTGTAAGTGCTGGCGAACAGGGGAAAACATAAAATCTTGAGAGAACAGCGCTTTTTTATTATTATTTTAAATCATTAGTTAGCAGGCATCTAAGCTGTAAACTTATAAAATAGCAACCCTCTAAACATAAAACGGTCATTTGTCAAGTTTTATTCTCATCTGCAAACCATAAATGCCAATATCGAAATTAATAGTAAGGACTTACAAGACTTTTTTATAGTAAGCCTCCATTGTGCTTCTCCAAGATGGCATATCTTCTGAAATACCGAAAACTATCACAACACAGTTCTCATGGTTCAATTGCAACATATTATCATTAAGCTTGAACAATACAGCCCCATAATCAAAACATGTCGTAATCTTACACTACATACCTTCGGAAGGCCATTGATTCAGTTGATTTTCTGCTAATGTACCGATATAGAAGCTTTCTTTAGCGCCACCTGCTTTTAACCAGCCAAAAGCGACCAGTTGTTACCTTGAATTTCAGTTTCAATCAGACTTAATTACATGCTATAAGCAAATAGACCTCTTGTATATTCAATGATAATGTTGATTGGCAATCAAAGTTAATTTTCGGTTCTGTCGTGGACAATGTTGATTGTTCCCTGGTACATGATATCAATCTCAATGCCACAAGTGCCTAATAGAGGTTAACCAAAACAGCGGAAAACGATAAAGATAAAACCAAAATACCTTTGGCGGCATTTAAACTAGTATTTAGTTTCTCATCGTACAATCCGGTATAACCTCTGTGATTCTTGACAGCAAATTTGACCTTCTCTTCGACTGGGAGAGCGAAAAACTTCTTACTATGCTCAAAAACTTCCTTAATCAGTTCTTCTTCAACCCCATGATTTACAAGATATAAGAAACCCAGGTCCAAGCATGCCTGAGATACAATTCCCAAATTTAGACTCTGAACCCTCTTCAATAATTCAAAGCAGAACCTTTAAGAACAACATATTCTTTACATTCCACACGAAAGGATAGGCAAAGAACATGGCTGTGAACAGAGATTTATATTGCGGTCGCGTTTTTGGTTGTTTTGCATTTATCTCGATTGCGGACATAACATGTATTAGCGCGACGATTGCAGAACAGAACCACTACCTCTATATGGAATGCACTATTGCGGTTGCAGACCGCTATTTAAATCTCTGGTCCTACTATCTGAATCGGATAAACTACCAGCCATAATTGATTCATTTTCCATAGAAACAACACAAAGGCAGGCACATTTGAAGCATGAGGAAGACAGCAAATAACTTAAAAAAACCAACATAAAACTAAAACCAAACCCAGACATACTGAACTTAAACCCGAACTCGTGACTCGAAAAAGGTAAAGACATCATCTGCAACACTGTTTTTAGTTTACTCATAGAATAACATAGAAATAAAGACAAAAAAACAGAGAGAGAAAACGGCCAAAGATTGAAGGAAGGGAGCAAAAATGCTAACTTGACGAATAGACTTGGCAGTGGAGAGGCGATCTTCTGAAGACAAGTCAATGACTGGTAGTTGAAGAGCTTCAGACATTCTTTCGTAATCCTTGACGAAATCAAGTTTGTTGTCTCAGTGAACTTGTTTCTGAAATTTAGAGCTTTTAAGTCTTCATCAATGGCTGTCTAAAGATGATGGGCCAAGAGGATTTTCATTTTACCAGATGAGAAACATGGTACGAGCTTGTCCATAAGAACACACCGAGCTTAAGTTTGAGCTGCCCTCGTTTCATCAACTCCAAACTTGGGCTCTTGTTTTAAAGATTTATTAAATATGTATACAAAATAGTTTTTATTTAAATTTTATTATAAAATAAATAAATATTAATTTAAAATTATGTTTTAATATTATCTTACCCTATTAATCTCTCTTTTTATATTAAAAGTGGATCTACGCTCTTAGATTCCAAATCTATTTAACCACATAAGATTTTTTTATAAATGATTTCTAACTATCATATTTCATGTTCTAAATAACATATGTCAAATCATTCAATTAAATAGTTTCTCACATGAAATTTGTTATTTATCGAATCATCCAATTAAATAATTTCTCACATAAAATTCTACCGTTTAAGATGCTTTTTGAAATTTAAGTGTTGCCCTCCAATCCACACTTGAAATATTTATTTGGTCTCTTAATTATTTATATTTTATTTTTATT